GGTAGTTGAGGAGTGATCCAAGATTGGAACACAGCTCTCTCTCTCTCTCCTCCCTCTCTCTCTCTCTCTCTCTCTGCCTCTCTTTCTCTCTGTGTGTAACTCTGACTTTTAAATAATAAATAAATCTTTAAAAAAACAAATCCCTTGGCCACAGGCACCTGGCTCAGTGACTCTGGACAATGTCCCCAGGCAGCCACCACCGCTGCCCTCCTCAGGGACCTGCAGGATCTGCTGCTGGAGTCAGGGGCTGCTGCCTGCCTCGCGGAGCCACCTGAACCCGTCCTGGGGACAGCGCCCCGACTGAAGAGTCTCTGCTCGTTCTTCAACTTGGAGCTGAGGCCCTCTGAATGCCAAGTCAGAGCCAGAAACCTGGCAAAGCCACTTCACCTCCCCTCCCCCACCCCCGCGGAGCCATAGATGACTCATGGGAAAAAGGCTCATGGGAATCTGCTGAACACGGAGGGAAAACAGACTGGGAAGTGGGTGAACAGACAACTGTGCCTGACCCAGGGTCTAGAGGGCCCCCGACCCCACCCCAGGGCTGGAGATTCCCTGAGCCCTGGGAGCGCTTACATGGCTGGGTGGGAGGTCCCGTCCCTCACTCCACTCCAAGCTTCAGCAGGTTCAGGAGGTGCAAAGCGCAGCGGCCCCACAGGTGGCTTGGCAAAGGGAATTCCCAGGAAGGTGTGGACGCCCGCATTGGTGCCTTCCACGTGGACCAGGCTCCCGCGCACCTGCCCCGTGTGCGTGTTCCGGATGGGGCTGGCAGAGTCCTGGCCTGTGGGCAGAGAGGTGTCAGGTGGGGGCTCCCCATGAGCTGCCCTCCCACACTGCTGCTGTGGCCTCTCCTTGGCATCGGCACCTCAGCCTTGCCAAGGCCTCGGACCTACAAACACTGACCTGACCAACGTCCTGCATGAGAAACTCTCCCCCATCTCCCAGCCAGCAGTGCTGTCCCTGGGCCCAGCCCAGGACATCCCACAGCTCCCGAGGCTCCTGGGACCTAGCACCCTCCCTGAGCACTAGGAGTCAGCGCAGGTGACAGCCCTGGGGGCAAGGAGAGCGTCTTTTCTGCTGACTGCCCTCGGTCACAGGAGGTAGAGCTGTGAGCACCAGACTGACCAGGCTCCCCTGCTAGGAGGCTCATGCTCCAGGCTGCAAGAAGGGAAGAAAGGAAGTGTCCTCTAGGGGGCGGTGTAGTGGCGCTCGGGTGCACCCACAGCCTGCATGGCCAGCATCCCCTACACAGTTCCATCCTGGCTGCTTCACCTGGATCCAGCTCCCTGCTAATGGGTTGGGGACGTAGTAGACTCCCCCAGCGCCTGGGCCCTGCACCCTCCTGGAGGCCCTGGATGGCTCCTGGTTTGGACTGGCCCAGCCCTGACTGTTATGCACATATGTGGAGGGAATCAGAGGGTGGAAGATCTCTTTTCCCCTTCTCTCTGCAACTCAGCATTTCTGATAAGTAAGAAATCTTAAAGACAATACGAAACATTTTTACATCATTGTCTAATATAAATCATTTTTTAAAAAAGAAAACAAAGCATGATCTCTAAAAGAGATGGCATTCGTGCCATGAATGCAGGAGGGAGGTGACTGTGCCCAGGACAGGACAAGCACAGCCTGACCTGGGGAACAGCGAGGGAGGAGGTGATGAAGTCACCGAATGGGGAAGGCCATGGATCAGTAAAGAGTTTCTAGCAATGAATCAGCACGAGCCAGGCACGCATCAGCAGGAAGCTGTAAGGATGCGCCCACAGACAAGGATCTCACACAAGTGATGAGGAAGCAAGTGGGACCGGACACCTCAGTGGATCTTGTTTGTAATTTTTATTCATTTATTGAAAGTAGACAGAGACACGCACAGAGAGACAGAGATGTCCTGGTGCTGCTTCCCTCTCCAAATGCCCACCACAGCTGGGACGGGGCCCTGATAGGCCAGGAGCCCTGAACTCTCTCGGGTCTCCCAGTGGGAGGCAGGGATCAGTACCGGAGCCCCTCTGCTGCCTCTCAGCCTGCACGTTGGCAGGAAGCTGGAGTCAGGAGGTGCCGAGGGGGGACCCGGGCACAGGGCTCAGGGCTGGGGCGTCCCCACTGCTGCTCCAATGCGGCCCCTCATGACCTATGTTGTGCCACAAATCAGATTTGAAAAAGTCGAGATGTTCTATGGTGAGAACACAGCACCACATGCTGGTCTTCCCTAAACAAGAAAAAACAGCAGCAGAACCCTAACAGCTGAACCCGACGGAGCCTCTAGGTACAATTCCTGTGTGCACAGGGTGAGGGGACAGAAGAATGGCCAGAAGGCACCACAGGGACGGTCCTCCCCCTCCAGAGAGAGCCAGGGGTAACCGTTTTCTCAACACAGGAATCAGGAGGGGAGCACAGCGAGGCAGAGGGGGAGCTGAAGCGTGAGGGAGACTCAGCAACACACGACAACCGCACAGGGGTGCAGAGCGCGGGCGCGGGGGTGGGGAGGGGGCCTCTGCGCATCGCTACTGTAGGGAAACGGGACACCTGCTCTGGGAACCTGACGGGCAGTCCTGCAACACTTAACCTGGAGCTCCACCGCCCTGCAGGTCCCACCCTCGGTAGAAGCCCAAGGGAAGTGCCAACTGTTGGGCAGACACTTGGAGCAGCAGTAGCAAGGCCGCTGGGATGCTCCCCTCCTAACAGAGCGGGCGTCTGAGGGAGACTGTGGAGGGGAGAGGTCTTTCTCACTCTGTCTCTCCCTCTTTCCCTGTGTCTCTTCCTTCAAACCAGCAGAAATCAATCATCCCCAGCCCATGCAGGTTAACGTCCTGACCTGGCACGATCTCTCTGTCTCTCTGCTTCTCCTCTCTCTGTGTAACTCTGATTTGCAAATAAACAAATAAATCTTTTAAAAAATCAGCAGAAATCAATCATCCCCAGCCCATGGAAGCTGACTCCTCCTCGGGAGGAACCTCCCATGTCACAGTAGGCGATGCCCGGCCACAAGGGTGCTCTGGGCCCCTGGGTCAGGGAGAGGAGAGCCTGGCCCCGGAGCGGGTGAGTAAACAGCGCCTCTGTCCTGAGCTGGTCCCAACCTTGTGCTTGTCGTTCGCCCCAACCATGGAGGACAGCGCTGCCTGCAGCAGCAGTTCCGGCTGTGAGGCTGACAGTGAGCTGAGCTCAGCAGAGTCCACGGAGGACAGGGGCGGCTTTCTGTGCAGATGCTGCGTGTTTTCCTGCCCCGGACACGCACAGCGACTCCCAGGGACCTTGGGAACAAACTGCTCCCTCTCTGAGTGGGGGACCCAGCCCCAGATATTACTTTATTTAGGAACCACAGTGATGTGGGGGAGACGATCTGCCTGTAAGGTCCTTGGTTCCCGGGGAGTTTCTGTGCATTGCCAGGGTCAGGCGGGGAGCCCGTGGGTGAGCATGGAGGAGGAGGAGTGGGGCCTGTGCTGGGGATTAGATAGGGAGAGGGTGGGGTTAGAGACCTGGCTTTTTGAATGAGGAGACAAAGAATCAAGGACACACGCCCTGAGTAATACCCACGTGGGCTGATTCATGATAAAACAAATGCCAGGTTCTTGGGTGGGGTCACCTTCGCCCTGGAACCTTAACCTACAAAGGTCTCTGCCAGGTGCACGGGGTCAGAGGAGACCCTGGCTTACAGATGGGCTTCTGGATTGGCATCAGGGGCTTTGAATTTTCAGGTCCAGTTACCCGATTGGGGCCACCTGGTGGGGCAGGGAGCCGCTCTGCCAAGGGTGTGCAGCCCTGGAGACAAATGGTGCCAGGGCATGTTCCTCACTGTCGTGGTCACTTGCTCCAGCATCCTGTAGCCCAGGAACGTCCCCGGTTCCCATGCTGCTCCTGCCTCCCGTGCTGCTGACCAAAGGCTGCGCTGCTCAGAGCCCTTATGTTGGGCTCAGTCCCTTGCGTCTGGGGCCTTGGGCAGCCCCGACTCTCCTGGAGCCTCAGGGGCAGCGCTGTCACTTCTACCCACTACAGACGCCCAGGTGTTGTCCTCCTGAGGCAGCAGACTCTCAGTGCATGATTGGGCAGATCTGACCCGGGTCCTTGTTGCCGCACGTGGGATCCTCATGCATCCCTATGATGCGTCCCCATGGTCTGAGGCAGGTCCCGTGTGTGGCTCTGAGCCCAGAGGCTGACCAGGGCACTCCAAGGGGAAGTCCCCGGCCCAGACCGTGACCTGAAGGGAACACGTGGGTCGAGCCCCGGGGGCGGAGCTTGGGGGCCTTGCAGGAGAGCAGGACAGAGAGGACAGGGCCTGTGGGGTCCCTGGCAAGGCTGCCTCCTCTGGCTCCTCCCCTGGCTCCTGCCTCCCTCCCTGGCTCCTGGCTCCTCTGGGTGTCCAATCCCTCTCCTCAGTCCTGGAGTCACCAAGTTTACTGTCCTCGCCGGCTGACTCCAGGATAGTGTAGGGATGGACAGCAAGCAGCACTGGGCTGTGACTGGACACCCTGGAGGCCTTCTCCGAGAATTTATTTTTTAAAAAAGATGTATTTATTTATTTGAAAGGCAGAGTTCCAGAGATTCAAGGAGAGATAAGGGAGTGATTTTTTTTTTTTTTAAGATTTGCTTATTTTACGTGAAAGTCACAGATACACAGAGAGAGAGGGAAAAGCAGAGAGCGACGTCTTCTATCGCTGGTTCCCTCCCCACGTGGCTACGACGGCCAGGCTGCGCCAATCTGCAGCCAGGATCTAGGAGCTTCCTACAGGACTCCCATGCGGCTGCAGGGGCCGAAGGACCTGGGCCATCCTCACTGCTCTCTCAGGCTACAGTAGAGAGCTAGATCAGAATGGAGCAGCCAGGCCTCAAACCGGTGCCCATTTGGGATGCCGGCACTACAGTCCAGGGCATTAACCACTGAGCCACACTGCCCGCCCCTGCTAGTCAATCTTTTACACCACTTTCCCAGGATGCACCTGTGTCTCAGCTGGGACCAGGAAGGAGAAGCCATGATGGAAACATGAAAAGTGAAATTCTGCATGGAGGGGCCATAGCAATCCCTTCAGTATTCCCACAGGTGAGATCCCACCCCACTGGGTTATGAATTTAGGGCACCGCCCCCTGGGATGAGAAAGGGGAGGGCCCTCTCTGCCCCTGGCTGTGCTTGGGAATCCTCCTGGGGCTGCCTCTTCCTCTCTTCCTCCTGGCAACCCTGGCCCATTCCTGCTGAGGGTCTCTCCGTGTGTGGCGGCCCTCAGTAGGCATGCAGGTGTGGGCACGCTCTCTCTCCTTGAAATCAAAGCTGCTTTTGTGCACTGCCTGTGGCTGCTGCTGCTGTGAATCCTCATCTCCATGGGGACAAGAAGCTTGAGTAAAATGTAAGACCCAGGGCCCAGAAAAGTTCCCAGTCTGGGGACCCAGCAGGGTACCTGTGGTCCTGTGACAGCGGGGGGGGGGGGGGGTCCGGGAGTCAGCCTGAGTGTAGGAAACATCAGGCTCCCTGCAGGAAGGAGGAGCAGCCTGGGCACGGGAGCCCCCAGGGGAAGTGGACCCTGGCTCATGAAGGCTGACTTTGTGGCTCCTGAGAACTGGCCTTGACCTCTGCTCAGCCCAGGGCTCTCTCAGCCACTATGGCCAGGGCTAGCCCAGGGCAAAGTCCAGAGGGAGAAACATTATCTGTGTACCCCACGTGGGTGGCAGTGGCACAAGCACTTGGGCCCTCCTCTGCTGCTTTCCCAGGTGCCTTAGCAGAGATCTGGATCAGGAGTGGAGCTGCTGGGACCTGAACTGTCACTCATATGAGATGCCAGCTACATGGGTAGAGGCTTAACCCCCTGTGCAAAGCAACAGCCCTATACTCCAGGTTACTGCATTAATGATTCATGGTATCCCAGCTGTGCAGGTAGGAAGGTGCCTTAGAGAGCTGAGGGTCTAAGAAAATGTGGCAGGTAAACTCAGGTGAATGCGACTCAGCCGTGAAAGGACTGGAACCCTTTATTTGTGCTGCATGGATGGGATTGAGGCACCACTCATGGCAGCCTGCAGGTGCGAAGCCACGGTGACTCCTGGAGTCCTGGTCCTCTGTGGCCTCTAAGAGATGTGAGATCACAGGCATGCGGGGAGGAGGAGGAGGGGGTAGGGCTTAAGGCACCCAGGGGTGGGCAACAATGCCCAACGCAGTTCCCTATGCATGGGGAAGGCCTGGGGCTGGGAGGAGAGGAGAGGAAGGGTGGGCAGAAGGTGGAGGGGGCATGAAGCTGGAGGGCCCCAAGGTTAGTGGGTGTTGAGTAAGCTGGGCGGGCACTGGTGTTGTCCAACACAGCTCCAAGGTGGGTGCATGGAATGTGTCTCACACGAGGGACCCAGGGCAGGCTTGACAATGAACCTCAAGCCGTGGGTTCTCCACAACAGTCAGCTGAGTTGACAAGGCAGGAAGGATTGAGTGGCCACGTTAGAGTGCCTAATGCATCTCTCTGTGGATGTGTGTGAGTGCATCGGGCCCCACCTGCACTGGAGCCCCTGTCCCTCACCCCACACAGGCAGCTACAGCTCTGTGTGCTTCTGCTCAGTGCCCCTTAGCTCCTGGACCCTCTGGGGCAGGGTGTGGGTCCAGAACTGGAGCCTGTGGGCCTTCAGGGCCTGGCCCACTGCAGGCTGCATGTTCAGCTGCAGGTATCGCTGGTCCAGGTCGAACAAGGGCCAGTGCGCCAGGCCCTCGCCATTGGGGTTCCTGCAGACAAGACGTCAGGAAGTAGACGTGAGCAGCTAATGGCCCACCCCAAGGTCACTGGGAGATGGGAAGAGTGTGCCTCGTCCCAGGCCCCTGTGAGTGCCAGTGGGTCCTGCAGCTGGGGAGGGCACTGTCACGTGACTTAGGACCCTGGATGCTGGTGAGGTCCCCCCAGAGGAGTGAGGGTAGAAGGTCCCAGGTCCCTGGGGATTGGGGGGGGGGTCGTCTCACCTGTTGCGAGCAAAGTTGGCCCAGTACTTCATCACCCTCCTGCTCAGCAGTTCCTCCTCCTCAGTGAGGGGCACTGCAGAGGGGAGGGGCAGGGTCAGCTCAGCCACCCCAGTCCTGCTGCCCATCATGCACCACGCTCCCAGCCCAGGTGGAGCTGACCCTCAGCTACCCGCCAACCTCTATGTTTTTCCCTCACCAGTGGGACCTGCTTTGTCACACTCCACGTCCCCAGTCATCCCCTAAGTCATTGACACTGGCTTCTTCCTGGACTAGATGGTTACTTCCCTGTGTCCCTGGGACATTGCTCAGGAAACAGATCTGACTTTGAACCCAAGTGCACCCAGGCTGGACACTCATCCCTGGGAGGGCTCAGGAGGAGGGAGCAGAGGCTGCACCCTCAGGGCTCTCAGATCCAAACCTGCTCTGCCCTCTGAGCTGTAAGACTTTGGACCCTGGATCCCATCTGAGCCTCCTGCTTTCATCCCAATGGTGGGTGCAGAGCCACCCCTGGGTGCCTTAATCCCTGGACCTCATCCCATCCTGGTAATGGAGGAAGATTCACCTTTGCTGCCAAACAAATGTGATCTGAAGACAAAGACAACCTCATCGCTGTGGTCAGCCCTCACGTGGGGCGGCCTGAGGTCCTTTGTGAAGCTGGGCCGATGCTGGAACTCATAGAAGTAGACAGGGGCGTGGGAACCTGGGGACGAACAGGGAGATGCGTGACCATGGGGACCACACATCACGGCCACACTAGGCTGGGTCCTGGCAGTATAGCAGAATCCCGGGTGGAGCAGGTGCAGTGGGCATGGCCTGGATTAGATCTGGCCTTGGCTTCGTGGCTATGAGGTTTGGGCACAGTGAGTGGAGCTCATTCAGCTGTCTCCTCCTAGTTCAATAGAAGACATATCCATCCCCAGGTTCAGTCATGGGGGTTTAGTGAGAGGAGTAACACCAAGTCCCCGGCACTCTGGGGCCCACTTAAGACATGGATCAGGACCTGGACAGGACAGGTGTCACCCTCAGGAAAGGACCCAGCTCTGAGCTGCCCCTAGCGAGTGAGACCTCAGTCCCAGATGAACTCACGCTGGAAATGTGCTACTCGGAGTGCAGGCATCACGAACATGGCGTCTGCCATCATCTCCTGGAACTGGGCCATGAGGGTCTTGGGGTCCTCATTGCTTCCCATGTACTCGTCCATCAACAGGTCCCCCAAAGCAGGAGGCAGCATCTGGCCCAGGGGAAGGGGAAGGAGTGAGGGGAGCAGCTCCTGGGAGGGAGGCAGCAGCCTCAGGCTGGGGGACGGAGGTCCTGTATAGTCAGAAACTGGGGGAAGAACCAGGCTCCGGGAGATCCCTCCCCAACACACGGCAGAGCCTTGGTTCCCAGAGTCCCTGTGTGGGCAGGTGTCTGGGATGCACTCTGTTGTGGCAGGAGCCTGGGGGCCTCACCAGCTGTTTTGTTGCTTGATGCGTAATCTCCCGCATCGCCTGTCTGTCTCTCTCCTCTTGAGGGTCAATGGCAAGTAGGAGCTGATGGAGAGCGAGAGTCCCATGTTGGCATGGCTGTGCCTAGAGTTTTGAAGCCCAGAAACCTGCCCACCACATGGGCAATGTGGGCACTCACCTTGGGAATGATCCAGCCGTACTCATCGTTGTTGATACCAATGATGCTGGGGACGGGTTGGAAGTCAGCCGAGGCCAGCAGCTCCTCGGGGTGTCTGGGCAGGAAGACTCCGTCCACCACCCCTGGGATGAGCATGAAGGCCTGTGGGTCACACGGGTCAGGGAGAAAGTTTTGTTGCAGGTATTTTACGCTGCCCTCCTTGTAAATCCCCCAAGCTTGGCTCAGCCCAGGCTGAGCCCAGGGTGCTCATCCCACCATGGGGTCCCCAGCCTGGCATCCAGGACTGCACCTCCTGTTCCCTTCCAGGGCTGGGATGTCAGGAGGCATGGATGGGAGATAGCAGTCTCAGGGACTATGAGGTGCACACAAGCCCATCACCCCCTCACCCACGTGCACGGGGCCCGACCTGGGTGATGGCCAGCATCTCCTCTTCACTCTTGGCCCGCAAGCAGCGCACCAGGGTCTCAGAGTCCACCTGGCCACAGCGAGACAGGTTGGCCACCACCTGTAATGGGACCACACAGGGGCTGGCACAGCCATGCTGGAGACTGGGGGTTGCCCACGGCCCCATTGAAGGCAGATGTACCCCAGATCACACAGGGTGTGGTGTGTGCTCGGCTGCAGTGGAAGCTGATTGTTGCTCCTTCCCCATGACTTGGCACCGCCCAGCCACAGTGGGCAGCACCTGCGGTGCTGGTTGCTGACAACCTGGGGCTCAGGCGGGCAGAGTGGCAGAGCCAAGAATCACCTCTGTTACCACTGGGGCTCAGATGGCACATTCTGACCCCAGAACTCCTCAGCAGTTCGCAGATAGGCTCAGTGCCTGTGTACCCAATGGTCCTCATAGTGACCACTTCACCAAGACTAAGAGAGGCAGGAGCAGCAGTGCTGGCTGGGCAGTGAGGACACTCACTGTGGAGACCACCTCAGACGAGCTGGTGATGAGGCCGGGCATCAGGGCCACCCCACTCTCCATGATGGCTCCGTGGAAGAGACCCTGGGACATGGGTGACAGCACATGGGAGGACACACTCATGCCACCTGCAGACTCGCCGAAAATGGTGACCCGGCCAGGGTTGCCTCCAAAGTGGGCGATATTCTTCTGGACCCAACGCAGTGCAGCCACTTGGTCCAGGTAGCCCCAGTTGCCGGTGGCGTGCTGGTCTCCAGTGCTGAGAAGGGGCAGGGACAGGGGTCACAGGGCTATCCTGGTGCCACTCATCCTGCAGTGCCCCCTCAAGCCCCGGTCTCACCTGAAGAAGCCCAGGACTCCCAGGCGGTACTGGATGGTGACCACCACCACGTCCTCAAATGCCGCCAGCGCAGAACCGTCATACATGGAAGCCATGCCCGTAGTCATTCCGCCACCATGGATCCACACCATCACCTGGGGAGTCAAGGATGGACCTTGTGGCTTCCCCCAGCCTAAAGGCTGCTCATCCCCCACTTGGTCTAACCAGGGCCTGGGGTCTGTGCAGGTGCCCTGCACACTGAACTCCACCCAGACAGCAGGATCTGGGCCATGAGCCAGGGACCCAGTGCCAGCAGAAAGGCCAGGCCTCCCATCCTTGGAGTTCTAGCCCTTGTTTCAGAGCTTGGCTGCGTCAATTCCAGAACCTGCAGTGAGGTGGAAAGCTAAGGGCTGAGTCTTGGTCCTTCCACATGGATGTCATTCAAAGTGCCTTCCCTCCCCATGGGCTGCCCAAGCGTCCATTTCTGACGTCCTGTGTGTCCTCCAAGGTCAGCCCTCACCACACAGCAGAGTGAGTCTCCTGGGTAAGAGGATGATGGCA